TGCTTCAGTGTAATATAAATGCCAGTAAGTGCGGTTGCTTTTTTGTTATGTTCTCTTTCCACTTTATTATGGGCTGATCTGTTTATTTTATGGGGACCATAAAGCAAATACGATACTTTGATTTTATTTATGAGCATGTGGCTTTGTATTTTATATGAGCACTATGGAAAGAAGTTTCTCAGCATTAGTACAACAGTATTCTCAAGGATCTCTACTTGCTACAGCAGGCCAAGATTGAAGTTATTCCTGTATTCTAGTACCATAATTACACTGGGAGAGTTACTGTCGGATATGGCCATTTTAGTCATCTCTCAGCATTCTGCCAGCTTATGCAGTACTGTAACAGTTGGTTTATAAACTGTTGATATGTTTTGTAGTATTTCTGATTTGTCCCGTTAAAGTCTGGTTGAAGACAATATGTAGCTTTGCTGGTAACTTTCAGCCGTGCCAAGATGTAGCTCTTTGTATTATGGGCCTTACTTTAGTTCAGCTTTTAATGGAAAAACAGACTAGAAATATGGAGACCTTTTATGGTTTGATGCATCCTGTGCTCTGAAATACATCCTGTTCCATTACTGGGAGCAAGGGATATGTGGGTAGGATGTGTGGGTCCAACTTTAAGACAGTTTTAGTGGATGTAGTTAAAAGTGCACATATAGTAGCCTTACCTAGGAGAGATACGGCATGTTTTTAATGTATGTGGAACAGAAGCAATCTTGTCAATGTGCAAAATCTTAATTTCCTCTCCTTGAGAGCACTGACAGTCTCATCTTGCAAAACCTGGCAATCAGTCTAATGCTCTGTTCTGTTACTAAGACTTGGACTTTTTTATTTTTGCTGACAGGTCTCAACATACTGTTAGCAATTTGAAATTATTTGCAAACACTTATGAATTCATGAAATTAGAGGTTTTCTTTTTTTATATTAAGGCTTTTGATATACACATGTTTTTATTCTTTATTTCTTATAGAGTTGTAGAGAGTCTACTGAAAGATTATTTCCCATTTATTTAATTTTCAGATTTTCATCTCTGGAGCTCAATTTGACACCAAGTACAACTTTATAGTAGCAGGAAAACAATTTTGGTGTACCATGCTCTTTCAAATGCATTTTAAGATCTCAGCTAAGAGGCACTGTCAGTAGGTGGCTCAAAAGTATTGCTACCAGTCTGGGTAATTTGAGGGTAAAAACATTTCTGGATAACCTTGATAAAAGCTTAATATGTAACCAGCTATAAACTTACTATATGTCATTCAGAGGACAGATGAAATTGTAGCAGGTGAAATCCTGATGCCAGGCCATCAGAAGTTTAATTGTTAAAATATATTCATTTAAAAAGAGACACCGAAATGTCTGTAGTTATGTGAGTGCAGTTAGTTGTTCTCAAGGAAGCGGGCTGTGCTCAGGAGTATGCCATGTTGTTTCTAGGCTTTGTGGGAACAGTCGGAGTGTTTGCAAGCTGCAATAGCAGGGCCACAGACAAGATGTGTGGGAGGTGGTTAATGATAATCATCTATGTGGGGGTTTTTTTATTGGTGTGGTTTTTTTTGTTTTTTTTTTCCCCTCCAGCACGGATGCCGTGCTGGATCTTACTTCATCCATTGCATCTGACAGGGGCTCAGTTAACATTTTTGCTCCTTCTGTTAATAATGACGTGACCTATGCTTAACCTCTTTTCCTACTGTTGCTGCATGTGTTTCCTGATCAAAGAGCTTGGTATTGGGCTAGTGCCATTAAAACAGCTCAAAAGCTGGTGCTGGACCCTGTGGGTTCCTTTAACCCGGTTTGGGTATCAGTTATCTTTTGAATGGTTCTGTTTCCTGATTTAGAAGCTATTGAATGATCTAAGTTAAATTTATGTGGGGCTGAAAAATCCCTGGTCTGAACTCAGTAATCAGTCTAAGTCATTTTATGTGCCGAATCTGTGGCCATTGATTCCTTTCTATTACCCCATTAAGCATATTTGTAGGCTGCCTGTCCTGCAAAGCATTTCAGTTGCCTTCCCCCCCCCCCGACAGCTTATCTGAGCTTTCTTTTTCATATGGCATCAGGCTTCAGTTTTGGTAATTTTCGTCTGGTTTGTTTACACATTGTTTACCTTCAGACTTGGTAAGAGTTATTTTTGGATGGCACTTGAGATGGAAGTTGCAGGATATGGAAGGCCAAGTCCTTCTTGCTTTATTAGTCATCTCAGTTGCAGCAATTTAACTTAAAATTTCTGAGTTTGTTGTCTCTGTAACAGAGAGTGAAGTTTGTGCTTGTGTGCAGTATTAGCACGTGCATTTAAAGTAGAGTTGTTTGTAATTTAACAAGTAAGTCTGAGGTGTGATCTTTATTGTGATTGAGTAATTTATGCATAGATTTAAAAAAAAAAAGAATATTAAGGCTCAGGAGTTTAATTTGCAAAACAGGATTAGAAGATATGACTGAGGATTACTTAGCAAGTGTCGCTGTGAATGTATAGATCCGATGGCAGAAGGCCTTATTATCTGTGCTTGCAAGTAGCTGGTAGATAAAACACGCTCCATCTTCTTGCCTTGACAACGCTGTTTTAGCCTGACAGACTGTTCCATTCTGCATGGGGGGGAAATCTAATTAAAGGAAGAAAATTGAATTTGGAAAGACTTAGCATGCCATCTTGTTTTTTCTCTTACTAAATGCAGGATTAGTCATGATTGCATGTCATGGTTATGCCTTATGTAAATGAAAGAATTGCTCTTTGTTTCTCCAAGTGGTCGCTTGATTTCAGAATACTCTAGTACCATAAGATGACCCAGGTTGTCTGCAACATAAGAGTTTCAGTCAGATAGTTAAATATGTACTGATCATTTATATGTGTCTCTTAATAAAATTATAAGTAAAGGAGCAATGGATTTAGCCTGTTTTTTTTTCATTATTATTTTTATTTTTTTTCCTTTGTAGCTGTTAGAATCTGATTCTGAGAGGCATCTTGTCTCTGATTTTTCGCTGAATGAGGAATTTGACTGGTTGGGTAGGAAGGGGGATGGAAAAATGGCAAATGGGAAGGCTTATTCCACTTGAGTGCCAGAAGTCATTGCAGGGTCTGAAGTTGGTTTTTTACTTAATAACATTATTTAAAGACAGATCAGCATTATGGATTTCCATTAATAAGAGCATCACCAGAACAGAGACAGCACTGCTGCTAGGCTGTTGCAGTCAGTTGGCAGCATGATTAGCTCTAAGAAGAATAGCTGTAAAAAGAAAAACGTAATTATTGTGGCAGCAGGGGCTGGCTGGGTGCCTCTAGGGAAAGGAGGAGCCAGGACAGAAAGCTGGTTGCCAGATGGCAATTTCAGTAGGACTAGGTGAAGCAGAAATAGCTGGAGATGTTAGCAGCTGCATTTAGCAAGGAGGTTGAAATGGTGATTTTGTTTTGATGTGAGGACACAGCCAGGGTGGAGTGGAGGGAGCAGCAGTGATTTCCTCGTTGGCCAGGGGGGTTGGACTAGATGATCTTGAGAGGTCCTTCCCATCCTCAGCAACTCAGGCTTGTGTGGAGGAGTCTGCAGATGGGTTTGAGAGCACGTGTGCAAGCTGCTTGCAGCCCTTCTCCTTTCCTTCTCCTGTGTTCCCAAAACTGCTCTGCCCACCATTGGAATTTGCTTTCCTGGCTTTGCCGAGCTTTCTCTCTCCAGCTTCCGAGCTCGGTCCAGCAGAGATGTCATTGCTGGAGGGAGCAGCAAGAAGAAAACTGCTGGCTGTAGGAATATAATCGGTTGCTCTGATCTACCACAGCACTTCATTCGTTTTCCTTCCTTTTCCCTTCTGAAAATGTTTGTCCCCTGGAATTTGTGTAGATACGTGGGCAAGAAGGAGCATGATGACACTTGACACTAAGAAAGCTTCTAGTCTCGATTCTGATTTCAGCTAAAGTAATGTAAATCTAGGCTTTAATTGGTTGCTTTCAGCTGACAACTCTTTAACTATTACTATTTAGCTGGTCCTAGTTGAAGAATGAATGCGGGTGTGAGAAGACTGTGTTAGGATAAGTGTAAGGATAACTATTAGGATAAGTAGGATAAGATTAAGGATTAATGTTTTAACACTGGAATTCACCCTTTGAAGCGGAGGGAGTTAGCTAGTGCTGAGTTGCAATTGTTGTATAACGGAGGTGTTCCCTCCACCTGCTTAGGCTTTAATGAGAGCTGAAGGGTACGGGACCTGAGGCTGTAGCCTGATAGCACGAGTTTGTCATTAAATATTTTGTACTCAACAGATATCCTTGCAGAAAGGAAATCTGCCTTATGAAAGGTTTGTATTATTTCTTTCCTATGTTTCCTAGACACAATGACAGAAATAGTTGTAAGCACATAGAAATACCTTGGTTCCCAGTGTATGTGTCATTCACATCCAAACCAGAGACTTTAAGGCAAAATGGTTTACTTTTGAGAAGGTGGCCAGGAAAGGGTCCCGTACAGAAGCTTGCTGCCTAGCTTGCTTTTTATGATTCCCTCCTGTGGTATCAACCATGCAGGCTGTGCTTTTAGTTTCATCTGCTGGATCTCATTTTGCAAATTCTCACGTGAACATGCCTTACTGCTGTGTTTATTTTTACCAATGCTGCTGTAGTTTCCGGAGTAAAGTGTAGTTGGGTAATTGGGGGAAAAAAACCCAGATTTTCTAATGTCATGAAGCTTTTGCTACAGTATGTTGATTAAAACTGGAGAATATTGTTGAACTTGTGCTCCTAGTAAAGTGTACATTAAGAAAAATGTCATAGTTGTTTTTAATTACTTGTTCTCATTGCTGTAGACTAGCCCCTCCCCTACTTTAATGACTGTCAAATATCATTGAAAGCTCCAAAGGTCCTCACTGTTACGTTCCAGCGTTTGTTTAGAATGCTTAACATCTCTCAGGAGCTTCTGAAATGTGGTATTTTTATTTTGTGTTTTCCTTTGGTTTTAATTCTTAAATGATCCCTCTTTTCAGATTTCAAATTATAATCTATTTCCTGATGCATTGCTGACGCCCCGTGAGCCATGTCAGAAGTACTTCCAGGTCAGATGCCCTTTAAAAGATTCTGCTATGCAAATATGTGAAACTTTTCTCCTCTTTCTTCCTTCTTCTTCCCAGGCCCATATTTCGCTTCCATTTTCACTTATACATGAAAAAGAGCAAGCACTTTCTTTTCTTAACAGTGCCTTTTTGAATAAACTCTCTATTCAGCTTTTTAAAAACTATTCCTATAGACAGTGCAACGCAAAAAAGTCTTATTAGCTGTAGAGACAAATAGGTCATGCACTGTTTTCTGTTTACAATGGCATTTTCTCTCTCCTTCTAGCTCTGTAGGTTTTATGACAAGATTGAAAAACATCGGTAAAAGCCATTCAAATAATAGTGTTATCTGTATGATTATGACGCTCAGAAAATTGGGACTGCTTTGTGTTAAACACATTATAGTGGTGAACATATATTAATCTATATTAGGTAGGTATGTTTCTAAATGTTAGAAGTATGCAGTTGAGACTGATTTGTTTTAAAAAGCAAACAAGCTAAAATCATTAATGAAATGCTGTGACAGGTCTTCTACCTACTTAAGTGCTGTCTTTAAGTACCAGCATTTTATTAATATGCTATTATTCCCAGTAATGATAACGTCCTAATTATTATTAGTTTTTTACTGGAGTCCAATATTTTTTATTGTAATACCCTATTTTTACTTGCTTATAACTTACCACTGTTCACCTGCTTTAGCTGAGAATACACGTATCAACCCAGTGATTCCTGGTCTGCTTGTGCATTTGTGTTTGCTTTTCAGCAGAAGGCAGAGGAGCTGAGAAGAGGGCGCTCTGTGCCAGTAGCGTTGTCCTTGCTGGTGACCAGGCAGAGTGAGGAGCTGCCTGAGCAGGGGGGGACGGGGTCTGCCTGCAGCGGGGTGCCTGGGTGCAGGACCCCGGCACGGGGTGTTGGTGAGCACCAGTCTGTGTTAGGTACCCCTGCGGCAAGGGAGGTGGGGTCGGTGGGAGAGACAAAATAAAAGATAGGGGAAGCCAGCGATTGGAATTTCGGTCTTGAAATTACAGGCACAAGAAAAAGTTGCATTTCCTTGAAGTTTTGATTAGAAAGTTGGGATGTGCTTCCTCTGGGAAAAGTGACATGTTCTGAGCACCACTCTGTCCTGTATAAAGGAGGAAGGACAGGCCATGGCTCTTCTTCCTTATGTCATTCTGCTACGCAATCTAGGGTGGTTTTTCAGTGCATTTAAGCATTTCCTTGCATTCAAACATTTTCCAGCACTTTTGTTATTCCTGAATTCTGCCCTTGAGATGCAAGACCTGCGCCTTCGCATCTGTATTTCTTATTCTCTTTTTGCCTCTTTTGTTGCTTCCCTTTTTCCCACCTTTATACCTGTTTCTGAGAGTGGAGGGATGGTGGCTGCACAGAGCCCAGCTGGGAGTGCAGAGTGACGGCCAGCAAGCAGGTGCCCATCCATTGAGAGTACAGCCTGCTCCTCTTTGTGTGTGCCTCCTGGTACTGGTTGCATGTGCATTGATATGATCAACAGATCATTTGAAAGGGGGTGAGGAAGGGAGGTGGTGTCTAGTGAAAGGTCCATTTTGACATTCTTTTTTGCTTATGACGACAGATCATACACCGACCCAACCTAGAACCCAAATTGCAAACACTGCTTGGGTCACAAAGGCTTCTGGAGGCTTTGGCCCAGTCATTGATCAATGTGCCAATGTTCATCATAAATCCATCAGGGAGCTTTATCAAGCAGATTAGTAAAACATAATACATTTTGTTTCGATGTCCTTGTTCTTACAATATTTTTGATAAATGAAATGCTAATGGCAGGAGAGTGGCTAAAGATAATCTGGCAGGGAGATACTTAAGCTTTATCTGGGAAGATTATTTTTTTAAGAAATTTGTTCATTGGTAAAAATAGTGGCAAACATTGCATGAAGCAGCTCACTTGTAACAAAGAACAAGAATAAATTTCAGTCTTGCTCCAGATTGTGGCAGTTCTATTTATTGATGAGAAAAAAAAAATGCTTGTTTTAAGTTGCTGAAGCATAAAGTGAGATGTAAGCTAGTGAAATCTGTAGATACTGTGCAGTTCCTTAAGTTCTGAAGGTCAGGCAGTGGGTCAAAATTATCCTGCCCTATTAATTTATTTTTTATGTGACTTCCAGATTGTTAGACTTTTAACTGACTCAGAAAAAATACAAAGCAGCCATTCCATAAGCACAGGCCACTTCATGTTTTTAGATTAAAACATGTGCTTTGGTAACATTATGTTGGATCAGATGTGACCTTGCTTGCATTAGTCTTGGTTGTTTTTAGGCAAGATGCAGAAAGCAACATTTATTAATGTATTTGAGAAGTACTTTTACAAAGTTCCTTTACATAATGTGACAGTAGTGTTTTAGTAGTCTTTTGTGCCAAAAGCTGAAATTGTCTATGGGATGTTTGTTGACTGTTACCTAAGCTGATGGCTTTTGCACAATGTGCGTAGGGTGATCTGTCTTCTGAAGAACTTGCTGTTGGTCTAGACTGACTGACTGGTGCTTGAGGAAATGGCAGACATGAAAATTTGTAAAATTTAGTTTAAACTCCATTTTGAACAAGGTTTAGAAGTTGTTCTAGGTGGGTAATTCGGGGAACAAAGAGTATACTTGGTCTGCTTGATTTTTAAATGAACCAGAGTGATACGGTTGGAAGTGTGCAGCTTTGACAGCACATCAAAGAGAAGGGAACACTAGCAACTCTGCGTGCATTTAGGCAATGTTGTCAAGTGCTCCTTTTCCCTCTGTGTTTATGTATATGTTCTTTTAAAATCCATATATTTAATCTCTTGTAAATCTGTACAGCAGTCACTTCTGTCATATATCAAATATACAGGGATGCAGCACAACTCAGCTGGAATGATCTGTCATCGGCTAGCTCAATTTATAGCTTTTCATTCCGGGATAAGCCCCAGATACGTTTTTATGTGCAATATAAGCAGTTGCTGATATCTGAGAATTAGGAACAACAGAAAGGCTGTTTCATGCTGTGGCAGGTGGGAGTGATTTATTAATTGGCCTCTCATTTGGTTCCCAGGTGTCAGACAACAGTGACTACTACAGTATGTAAACTGAGGTGTTCATGGAGTATTTGCAGATTAGTGGGAGCCATAAATAGGCAGTGCAGGAACAAATGATAGTTGTTTTTTAAAAAAATACACTTTTTATCATTTTTTTCATAGTCTACAAACTTAATAGTTTTCAAAATGTGAACTGTGCCCCTGGCTAATAAAATCAGAAACTTGTCTACAGGTAGACAAAAGAATGATTTCGTTTAACTGTGGAATATGTGTGCTTTGCCCTAGGATGTATGTTTTATCCTTAAGTTTGCACTCTGTGAGCTGTAGAAACAGTGACCCATCTTCCGCTCTGGAGCAGCCCTTTTTTAAAGCTGATTGAATTAGAGCCAGATATTTTGTCAAGGGATTTCTCCCCCCACAATCAAATACAGTATTGTGAAATATTGTGCTTGTATTCCCTGCTTTCTGACCCTCTACTTCCAAAAAGACAAAGTTCTTTTTTTTAAAAAAAAAAAAAAAAAAAAAAAAAAAAAAGACCAGAGAAAATGCAGGTGTTAAGAGGCAACAGCTGACTGGCCAGTCAGGCTTAAAATTAACAGTACTTCAGTTCTACCCTGGATGAAAAAGGGGCAGCATCTGCCTGTGGTCTACTTAGAAATTTCTCAAATTTTCTGCTTCTTAATGATGAATACTCAAGGAGTTCTTCCCCTCCTCCTTGTTGGAGGTAGAGGTGAAATACTAAAATGAAATGATGGTAAGGACGACTTCTGAACTCCCAGGCATTTGCAAAGTGTGCCTCCCTAAGCCTGCCTGCAATAGAATCAGACGAGAAAAGAAAGCCTTAAAACTGCCTTGTATAGGGTCAAGCTTTCTGCTTTTTCTTGGCTTCATAGTCCTGATGATTTATCTATATTTTTCTGCCTCTGTTTTTCCTTATTTAATAAGCTAAGCTTTTATCTATTCTCTCACCCACTTAGGTTGTGGTAGTTTTCTTACTATAAAACAATCATGTAAAGTGCCACATCCCTTTACTAGAAGCCCTACCAAAATAGTGTGTATAATGCATGTGTTTCACAACTGTTTCTTTTGCTTTTCTAGTCGATTCCGGTGTGGACGCATTGGCAGTGTTTATGGCAAGCAGCAGCACGACGGACGTTGTGAACCGCAACAACCCCGCCACCCCGCCGAACACCCTTAACCTCCGCTCCTCTCATAATGAACTTCTGAATGCAGAAATTAGGCACACGGAGACCAAGAACAGCACTCCTCCGAAATGCAGGAAAAAATACGCGCTGACTAACATTCAGACAGCCATGGGTCTTTCCGATCCAGCAGCACAGCCCCTTCTGGGGAACAGCTCTGCCAATATAAAGCTGGTGAAGAATGGGGAAAACCAGCTTAGGAAAGCTGCCGAGCAGGGACAGCAGGATCCCAACAAAAACCTCAGTACCACTGCGGGCATAAACATAACTTCTGAGAAGTCTGAAGGCAAAGAGCTGATCCCACAGGATTCCTCTGGCTGTGAAATATTACCCTCGCAGCCAAGGAGGACCAAGAGCTTCCTGAATTACTATGCAGATCTGGAGACATCTGCTAGAGAGCTAGAGCAGAGTTTTGTTGCAATGGAAGATAAATCTGCACACAGCAACAGCCAGGCTTCTACCGTTATTGTCAATGGGGAAGTCCTGCCCCGGAAACAAAACAAGCTGTCAAGCCCAGAGGATGGCCAAGTTGCCACAGTGTCGTCAAGCCCTGAGACTAAGAAAGACCACCCAAAAACTGGGGCCAAAACAGATTGTGCCCTCCATAGGATTCAAAACCTGGCCCCAAGCGATGAGGACTCCAGCTGGACTACGTTGTCCCAGGACAGCGCCTCACCCAGCTCGCCCGACGAAACAGGTATGCAGCCACTATTTTAGAAATGCTTCGCTTAACTCCTTGCCACTGGCAGCTGGGAGGAGAGAGATGATTTAGCGGTGCTTCAGTGGGGAAGTGGATTGCATCAAAACACAAGTGCTGGGCTTGCACGCAGCTCCTTGTCTGTTTGGGAATGCTTGGCAGCCTCCTACTTGGTCCTAAGAGGCTTTAGTACTGCTTTAGGAAAGGCACCAGCAAATGCTATAGACAGGGTCCTAAATATATCCTACTTCCACCTTTTGCTAGTTTAGAAATAGTTGCTCTTCACTAATCAATGGGTACGTGTTGTGAGAAGTACATGATTGTCTGGAGATGCTGAACTACTGATAGCTGCCTACACACAGCAAACAGACTTTTCTGAGCAATGATTTTTAGGTTCAGCAAAAAATTTTATTTTTCTAATTCAGATCTTTGTGAGTGTCCTTCCTCCACCCCCAGTCATTTGATGATATTCTTTTATTTTAAAAGAAGTCCTCACAAACCTTGGGTCATTTAATTCTGTGGGTTTTTTCTTTGTGCAGCAGTTCCATACAGTAACGCAGAAGCTGAAACCATAACATTTCATATTTTGGAAGCCTGGGCTCATCAATTATTTGAACAGTAATGATGATGTCTGCACTGGCTCTGTTGTGATTTACAACACATCTCTATTATTTTTAAAACTCTAGAGATCTCATTTACTCTAGTTAATGGACTTTGTCACTTCTTTATATCCAAGGCAGTATATAAAGGTACAACTTTGTCAGGATGCGGGGAGGGGATCCAATTCTCAAGGGTGACGTGGGGCTAAAGAAGTTTGCCATATATTGCTTGTATTTTAAATGATTTCATTATTACAGCACTGAGATTATATGCTGTTTGGAGGCTGCTGTGGTCCAGATCCACAGCTGCACCACATGTCAGTCGTTCATGATTATGACTATAGTGATTTGTATTGTGTAGGGATTTTTAAAATCACAAGCGGAAATCCCCACTATGTGGCATATAATGGATCTTCTGATCTTCTTTTTAATATGTAACAAACCTTTGCTGTTAAGAGAGGAAATTTTCATGAAGTCACCTCTTCACACGAGAAATGAAAAAGTTTTCAGTTTAGTAAAACTGCCATTCAAATTAATATTATTTCTCGGGATACTTGATATAATATGTGTGACATCACTGATAACATTTTCTGGAGAAACTATCAATAGGAGGTATTTAGTTAACTTAATGTGGAGCTTGTTGGCTCCTTCTGTCTTTGTACTTGCCCCAGGTTTGGCAATGAGAAACTGTGGGTGGAAAATTTATACTGAGTGAAAACTAAATCAGAGTAATTCCAAGTGGTCTAAATAAATACGGGTGGCCTAAGATGCTAAGAGCTAGCATAAGTTTTTTGTTTCTTTTTAAGTAATGTGTTTAAAATTTTCTTCCCACATGTGTATTGCTACTGTATGGTATATGAGCTCTTTCAGCACTCTGGAAGGGGGAGAGTTTTGAGGTGTTGGCAAGTTTGCTTATTTTTTAAGTAATCAGGTGTTAGCTGAGCTGTGGTTTGTTTGCATTTTCCCCTGCTGAGTATCAGGGGGGTTCCTCATTTAAAAAATAATAAAAAAAAAATAATCCATTAATAAAGCCCTTAGGGCTCACCAGTCCCCTAAAGCAGAATAAAGGGCTTTTTAAAATTCTATGCTACCTTCACCATATTAGCAACCAATGTGTTATAAACAGACAGTTACAGAAAAGCAGATGTCCAGATATCTGACTTCAGTCTCTATAAGAAAAGAGTTAAAAATAAACAGAAAGCCCTAGGAAACATCAAAATTACCTTTCAAGATAAAAGTGGTAGAGGTGCTTCTTTTTCATCCCAGTGGTTATTGTCAGGGAGCACTGAGTAGGGCATAGGACCTGTCGTACTGGATTGGATAGCTGGTTTTAAGATGCCTGTATATATAAATATTCATGGATTCTAAAAACATCCAACTATTGCAACTTGCAACAAACTGACATCCGTCTTTTAGGATTATTGGCTATCTTGAATTTCCTTCTACCCTGATAAAATTGTTTCAGTATGTGTTTCCAGTTTCTTCCCAAAATGGACTAGCAATTGATACAACAAGACAACTGAGAAATAAAATGTCAAGCTGCCGTTGGTGCCAGGATGTTTTTTGGACATGATAAAACAGGCCAGTTTCTCAGGCTCCCCTGCAGCTCCTTCTGGGAGGCTGAAAAGGGGGGTGCAAAAACCAATGCTGCCAGTGTAGAAAAAAGCAGAAATCGGAAGTGGTGCAAATACCTCCAGAGCGTGTCCAGAGAAGGGCAGTGAAGCTGGTGAGGGGTCTGGAGCGCAAGTCTTATGAGGAGCGGCTGAGGGACCTGGGCTTGCTTAGCCTGGAGAAGAGGAGGCTGAGGGGAGACCTTACTGGTCTCTACAGCTGCCTGAAAGGAGGTTGTAGTGAGGTGGGTTTTGGTCTCTTCTCCCTGGTAAGAAGTGACATGGCAAGAGGAAATGGCCTCAGGCTGCACCAGGGCAGGTTTTGATTGGATATTATGAAAAATGTCTTCCCCAAAATGGTTGTCAAGCATTGGAATGAGCTGCCCAGGGAAGTAGCCGAGTCCACATCCCTGGAGGTATTTGAGAGATGTGTAGACGTGGTTCTTGGGCACATGGTTTAGTGGTAGACTTGGCAGCATTAGGTTTATGGTTTGGACTCAATGGTCTTAAAGGTCTTTTCCAGCTTAAATGATTCTGTTATTCTAAGTTCCTCTATCTCTTGAGATTGCCTGATCTGTTTTAAACATCCCTTCAGTGGAGATGTTGCCCCTACCTGCTCAGGCCATCTGCTCGAGAGGCATGTGGTGCTTTCCCCTGCGGTAGATATTTCCAGTCTTTTTAGTGTAATCTTTCATTTCTTGTTGTCCCTATGCACTAGCATGGATGAAGGGAAGCCCTTCCGACTGGGGAGTCATGCCGTGAGCCCTGGTGGTACTCATCCTGGAGGTGTGAGATTCTGGGCATGACCAGGGCTTCTGGCTGCCACTGCATCTGGGTGGGAGGGG